GCTGGCTGGGCCAGGGAAGGTGTTGTTAGTGGGTGGTCCCCCCTTCCAGCACCTGCTCCCAGCCAGCAGGAGACACCTGGGGAGACTGATCAGGGAGCAGAAGCATCTGGAAGGGGAACCCACCCACCACTGTCCTAGACTGAGCCTGGTACCCCACATGATGCTCACAGCCTGGCTAGAGTGGGGCAGGGGTAGCTCTGGGGTTGCCCCCACCCCTGGGAACAGCTGGGGGTACAAGTGGCAGTGTCCACTTCTGCCCCCCTTTTTGTGCCCAGAGGTGAACCCTAGGCAGACCCTACTGGAGAAGGGGAGTGGGGAAGAGGAGGGAGGTGCTTGCACAGGAGGGGAGGGGGTGCCAGGAGCTACAGGGGGAGTGGGTTTTACTTACTTCAGGGAATCAAAAAAAGTCCTGGCAGCTGCTGCTTTGGCATCTTGCAAGGTTTATGTTCCAGATCTTGATGCTTGCTCAGAGCAGTAAGGCAAGATCCTGGAGCAAGCAGCAAAAAAAACTCCAGGCTGCTGATCCACTCTGTGAAGCTATTTGTGCCTGCTGCCTGCAGTAGCCTAGGGGTGACATTTCTGCCAGGGGAGGAATTAGAGAAATAATGTCGCCACCTTGCTTGCCCTCTCCTGTCCATTGCCATAGGGGAAGGTGGCTTTGCATTTCCCCATGCATTCCCCCTCACCTCTTCTTTATATAAAGTAAGAATGCACTGATTCAGCTGCACAGGAGATCCTAATAAAGACAAGATTTGGCCCTTGGAGAAGATTTTTGTTTATAGCCCCAGCTGATAATATTCAAAAATGAATTTCTACCAAGGCACTGACTATGATCTGCTAAGAATTAGGGAGGAGTGAAGAAATCAGGACCAAAATGAAACCTCTACTGCCTCTAGAACAGAGAGCATATTTGTTAACTTAGAGTCCACGCCGGGACCAAGACCAGGAATGCTACTGTAGAAAAAAAAAGTTGCTGCCTTGAAGCACTTGTAATCACACAGATGAGGTACAGGAAGACAGAGAGGCTCAGAGGTTAAATGACTTACCCACGGTCACAAAGCTCTGTATTCCTAGTCCATTTTTCCATCCACCAAGGTCCCATTTCTTTTTGGGCCAAAGTTCTAAAATAATGGATATAGGGTTTGCTTTCTTCTCCCTGATTTTCCACTAGAACCTGGACATGAGATGTTAAAACATAAGTTGAAAGCAGTTTACACAATATTTCCAGTTAATTCCAGGATGAGCGATAACGGGAAATGAGAACACCAGACCAACCCCTTAAGGGGCAAAGCATGGGAGAAGGCTTTCCAGGGAGCACCCAGATTATATAGGAGAAAGACAGGTTGGGTTTTCAGGGGTGGGGGTTGGGGG